AGACCACAATACTGGAGCTGACTTGATGCAGGTAGGCACAGGTGCCCATATAGAGCCCCATAAAACCCTTACAAGCAAGAAAATGTCCAGCTACACTATCCTTCTCTAAGATATCTTAAATTCAACACAACCCCACTGCTCTATAAATAAGCTTAAAACAACCTCCATTATGTATAACACACCACATTTCTTACAAACATTACAACGTAAACCTTCACTGACCTCAGCACCATTCACATCCATAGATGTAGGGACATGCATGAACTGGTGAAGTGTGTGTTATTTTATTTTCCTACAGAGAACAGCTAAAATATTCTGTGGAAGAAAATGGGGTTTGTAGTTCCAAAGAGGGTGACGCTAATGCCCGAGTGAATTTTGAAGTTTCCAGACACTATTTGTGCAAAACATATATGAAATTTGAGACTACATACAAATTTCTGAAATGTCTACTTTTAAAAAAAAACTTTTCTCCTCTCAGGCACATCTGCCAGTGACCAAGACCCCTTCAAGAGTACTTTTTACTATGGTTTCTTTTAAAACAATCCACCATTTCAGCTCCACAGGGCCTACAAGTCCTGTCAATATGAAAAGCTTAAGACAACCTTAACTATGGAGCCACTATCAGTGCCTCTATAACATCTGATCGCCATATTTGGGGTCGGGAAGGAATTTTCCTCTAGGGCAGATTGGCAGGGGCCCTGGAGGTTTTTCGCCTTCCTCTGCAGCGTGGGGCATGGGTCACTTGCTGGAGGATTCTCTGCACCTTGAGGTCTTTAAACCATGATTTGAGGACTTCAATAACTCAGACGTAGGTTAGGGGTTTGTTACAGGCGTGGGTCGGTGAGATTCTGTGGCCTGCGTTGTGCAGGAGATAAGACTAGATGATCATAATGGTCCCTTCTGACCTTAATGTCTATGAGTCTATGAGAATCTGAAATCTACCACAGCCTAAACTTTAGTGAAGAGAACAAGGCTCTGCCACTACTATATAATTAAATGTTGAATCCCTTTAACCAACCAGGAAAAGTTTAATACAGTAGAACCTCACTAATTTGCACTAATTACTGAAAGGCTCATTGCAAATAAGTAATTGAACAAACACGATCGGGAAAAAAGCAAAGATAATGCATCACAATGTATTTTGTTCAATTATTTGACAAGTGTAATTTAGTTTTAATTAGTGACAATAGTTCATGGTATATGTTCTGCAGTACATTTTGTAAAAGTAATACAATCTTTGTAATAAGACACCTCATTACAACACTCTTAAATCTTCGTCCAAAGTAGAGAGACTGTAATCTAATTTGCACACAAAAACTAGTGTGGACTGGTAAGTGTGAAGTAGTAAGGCTCTACTGTAATATTGGCAAAGATAATGAAAAGTCTGTCTAGGGGTTTTCTTAGACGAGTAGAACTTTAATATAAAACACAAGTATCTCTCTAGAACAGTGGTTCCCAAACTGGGGTTCGTGAACGCCTGGGGGTTCGCAAAATGTTACGGGGGTTCTCGGGAAAAAATTCTCTAATGGCTGACAGAGCTGTCCCTAGGGACTCCAGGTAGCATGGGGCCAGCAGCCCGGAGCCCCTGGACTTCCAAGAGCTAAGCAGATCAAAGCAAGCCTATCTATCACACCGAGGAGATTTAAACTTCAAGACTCATAAGAAATGGAAAGAGAGGTGGATATTTTTTGCTGTTTTTAAATTAAATAGGCAGCTAGTATTGTTTTTTAAATTATTATGAAGAACAAATTTAAGCTTTGTTGTAACATGCGTCATTTGCCTGGACTGCTGAAGACCTGAATGCTTGTGTAGGAGGAACTCTTTGAATTGGCTTCTTAAATACCTTCATGCTGTTTCCCATCTGATACTCCTTGATGAAACATAGGAGCTTTGTCTTATAACAGGCTTATTCAAAGTGATACAAGCTACGAAAGTGAGATCTTGGAAGAGTGTTGCCGTTTTCATAATGTAATAAAAATACTGTAATGATAAATAATTATTAATAATAAAAAGTGTGTATTAAGCATGTCATAAAAACAAATTTTATATTTCCAAGATCACTGCTTTTATAATTTATGCTGAGGTAAGAGAGAAAATTCCTGTAAATACTCATTTTTAGGAGGGGGTTCAGGAGCTTTGACATTTTAGTAAAAGTGGTTCACAGGTTGTTAAAGTTTGGGAACCACTGCTCTAGAAAAGCAAAACAGTAGCTGGAATGTCCACTCAACCATTACCAATGTTTCACTTAGGTACAGCCTACAGTAGGGAAGTTTTTCAAAAATTTCCCACCATTGCTTACACTAGTTCAGCTCACCCAGTGTTAATAATAGTGGGAGCTCTAACATGGATGGGTGGCCTTCTGCTGGCAATAAACACAGCAGTGTTATGAGATGGTGCTTAAAATGCCAGTGGTCAAACTACATTAGGGTTCCCAACATTCTTAATGTTAGTGGAATTCCTGATCTATACTTAGAAGTTTTACCAGTATAACTATTTCAGTTAGTGGTGTGATTTATTTATTTTTTTTAACCAAAATTGTTATAACAGTAAAAGCCCTAGTATGGTTGTAGTTATACTAGTATAATGGTGATTTATACAAGTATAGTTTTTTCCTCTTCACATGGAGGAAAAGCTATACCAATATAAAGTGCCTTTATACTGACATAACTTCAGCCATGTTAGAAGGAGTTGTACTGCTTTAACCATATCGGTATGGTTAAAGCAGTACAACTTTTTAGTGTAGACAAGGCTTAAACCAGCAGTATAGCATGTTGATAGTAGCATGTTTTTTTTTAAAGTGTCTTTACATTTACTATGCTTGCCTTATTTGTGGATTAACTACTGGCATCAGTGTGCTGAAACTGTAGGTCTCTAATTGCACAGTTTGAAAATCAGAATATTTTTTCCAACAGTGCTGGAAACTTTTCCATGCACACAAATTCTGTGTTGTACATTTTGTAATAATATTTCAAAACTGTCAGGCCTTCTGAGTGAACAAAAGCAATAAAATAAATACAGTGGTGTCTTCCTAAAATTCCACCTCATTTTGACCACTGCATTCCCATAGGAAACAAAGGGACCCTCAACATACTTAGTACACCTGTGGGAGTGTATCACAGAAGCAGGAGACCAAACTGGCTCCAGGGGACAAACACAGTTGTAAATTGGTAGATTATCACCAGGGTGAGGGTCACCAACAGTCCCAGGGCTGACCACTAATGTTTTTATCTGATCTATAACATCAGGGGAAGGTACCACAGCTGAACTGGGGCTGCAAAAGAAAAAAAAGCTACTTCATGTTTAAAGGGACATCAACATATTAATTATTCAAAAGTAATTTCTGACATTACCCCTACCCCTTCTGTTGGTGAGAGAGAGAAGCTTTTGGTTCGAAGACCTGAAGAAGAGCTCTGTGTGATTCACAAGCCTGTCTCTCTAACCAACAGAAGTTGGTCCAATAAAAGGTATTACCTCATCCACCTTGTCTCTCTAATCTCCTGGGATCAACACAGCTATAACTACACTGCATGCATTATCCCCGCTCCTAAGTCTGTCAATTTGTTGTTGTTTTACAATCACATCTTTTCCTACTTTTAAAAATATTGCCCTCTCTCCCCAGATGGCCTTCCTAGAAACTAAAGAGAAACTGACCAACTGGTTACAGAGAACACAGTGAAACAGACTAAAGACCCATCCACAAAATGGGGATGATAGCCCACAAGAATGTTATGAGGCTTACATTTTTTAATGTTCATGACATTTTGAGATTCACACATGGTAAAGACCAGGTATTATTTATTTCAGGACACTCAGCAGGAGAATAAAAAGTTCACAGATAGATTTGTTTTAGAAAAGCAACAGAATAGTAGACAAGCTAGCAGGAAAAGCAGAAGTGCCATTACAAGGACTCTTGGGACGGTGCAAAGTATAAGGAACATAGTTTATTTTAAATATTATTTTGATACTGTAGTTCATATTTAAGTAGAGGACAATTTGCCTTGAAATCTAAGTCACCTACCATGAGCAAGGGACACACACCAACATCCCACCTGAGATAAATACCCAATCTTTTCTTTTACTTGAGATTTTTTGGGTGTTTCTGGTGAGACAACTGGAAGTTTTTATCTTCTGTTCAAGATGAAAAGAATATTGGAGCTAGAAGAGCCCACCAAAGCCAGTCCAAAGCAGCTGCCACTGGAAGCCTCAAGATCTGAAGTGGGGAGCCCTCGCAGGAGGACCCAGAACTAAGGTAACCGTATTTCCCTAAATTGAAAACAAGAGGCCGGGTAAGCAGTGACACCAGGTGGCTCGAGTCAGCCCCGACCACCTGGCATGGCCATTCTCCCGAGCTGATGTTACAGCCATCACGACTTTTTTGGCAAAACTAGACATTTCTCCCATTTGCTGCTGCTCAAACATTCCTCTGAACCCTCCTCCGCCAGAGCAAGAGCAAAGGGAACAAATGCCCAGTTTTGCCCCCCAAAAAGGCTTGAACTCCGGGACCGAGCTTAAAAAAAAGAGGCCAACCCAGCCAAAACAGGACCTCTGGTCACCCTACCCAGACCAGACCTTCCCAAGCACTAGCTAACCGGCGCGGTGGTCACGCTGACCGGACGCCCACAGGTTTGAGGCTTATCTGGTTACAGCCTCTCCCGTTTGCTCGCTGGGCCGGGCGCCGCTCTGTGTTCCCCGCTTGTACAGCGCCGAGCACAGCGCGGTCCTCGCCCGGCCGGGGGCTCCTGGGTGCCAGCGCAGCACCCATAACGACTAACACGGCCCCCGCTGCCGGCTCCCCACTGATCGGTACCGGGTGCGAGGGCCGGAGCTGGACTCGCCTGCTGCCTCCCGCCGGGCTCCGCGCCTGGCACCCCGGAGCCGCCCCGAGCCAACGGTTCCCAAGACGGAGCAGGGCCGGGCGAGGGGGCGGGCACAGGCCAGTGCCGCCGCCTCCCCGGCTCCCTGCGCCGCGAGCCAGGCCGTGGCGGCCCCGCTCCGCTCACCTGGGCTCAGCCCTCCGCACCCGAGCTGGGGCTGCTCCTGCCGCCGCCTCTCCCCGCCGGCGCCGCACCACATCCTCCGCCTGCGCCGCCCGCACCCGCCGCTTGACTCGCTGCCACCGGCCGGCCCGAGGCCTCAGACGCGGCCCGGCAGCGCCCCCTAACGGCCCGCGACAAACGGAAAGTTGGGTCTCCCCGAGCCACGCCCTCGCCGGGACACAGCGAGAGACAGGCCCTACTTACAGCTACCAACACACCCACATCACAGCTATACACCCCACATCACACACCCTCACCCAAACATATCTACACCCCACATCACACACAGAGCCCACATCTATACCCCTACCCGAATATATCTACACCCCAGGTCACATCTATACACCAACACATCCACATCACACACCCCACATCACATCTATACAACACACCCACCACAGCACCTATCTACACCATATATCACATATATATACCCACCTCAGCACACACCATATCACCTATGTATACCCACACATGCACATCACCTACAGTATATTCACCAGACCAACACATGCATCCCATACCACATCACTTATATATATATATCCACACCTCACATATATATATATACACACACACATATACACCTTACACCAGATATATACTCCCATACATCAGATGTATACACCACATGTATACTCCCATACATATACACCACATCAGATATACTCACCATACACATACACACAATATCACATATATACACTCACACATCCAGTATTGCCAGCCCTAAGAGTTCAAAAATCATAAGATTGGCTTAAATATCATGATTTTTAATTTTAAAAAAAAAGTATATATATGGGGGGGGAGGTATTTGTCTTCTGGTTTTTGAGCCTTTAAGGTGCGCTCAGGTCATGTTTTCAAGCTTTTCTCCACAACTATGAGAGAGAGAAATAAGAGCAGAGATTTTTAATTTAATCATAAATTCCAGCTTTTCTGTCTTTAAGGAAAACATAAACTAACAAAACTCACAATAAGATTGCAAAGATTGACAACACTGCACATCACATATATACACTCATATACATACACAGCACAGCTTAGCACATCACATATATTACATCCAAAAAAGTGTATGTTAAAAGAACATTAAGGTTGCAAAATTAAGCACTCCGAAGCTAGAAAATGGAAGAATTAAGATTGCCCATGTATACAGTATTTAGTTACATGATCATATACTATTTTTTCTATAGGACCCCTGCCTCATTCGTTGCAGAGGATGGACAGTGCTCTAGGAATGAATCAAGGTTGTGTGGTGAAAAAGGTGCACCATACATGCTACATACATATATTATACATACATATCACATGACATACGCACACCCATAAATACATACACACCACACCCACAGATATATTCAAGTCACATATACACTCTACACACACACATATCAAATAAAAATGCAAAACTAATATTTTTAAAGAGATTTTATTTTTAGGGGAAATTTTCATTAGTGCCAGCCAGTGTGTGCAATTTGCAACTTCCATACACAATTGCAAAATTCAAGCGTTTAATTCTGTAGTAATTTGTATAATGAAATTTAGAATGAGATTTATCTTTGCGTGACATGTAAAAGATGCAGTGTAATAGAATATGTTTATTTATATAACACCCAAAGTTTGTCACGTGCTTTATAGACATGCCCATGCCCAGAAGAGCTTGCAATCTAAGGAGCTGCAAAATTTTATGCACATGGATATTCTTATTTAGATAAGTAGTCATACTAAAGTTTATATCTCCTGATTGGGTTTTAATGTACTTTTGGACTGAAGTTGCACACATCATATCTGACTGATTCATATTCCAGATTCCGCTTTGAAATTAATTCATTTTAACCAGTTTTGGCCAACTTAGCACTTAGTTTATTATGGACTATGTCTAAGTATCCTGAGCTTGATGTAGCTTTGAGAAGGCATGTAAGAATTAGATTTTTGTTGGTGAATGTCCGTAAATGTCAATTTCATTGTACACACACAAACCAAGGGAAAATATTGCCATCAGTAATAATATAAATTTACAAGATAGGCAAAGTGTGCTGCTTGCAAACATTTAATATATTTTGATATGTAATGCTGACAAATTGTGGTTTAATGGTTACAAAGCTTTAACTTTTTTAAATCTCAACATCTACTGTCATTAAATAATTATTGTCTGACACCTCCCATAATTTCCCACAAGTGTGAAAATTTAAATCAATAAAAATAAAAAATGCTTAAAAATAAACATCTATATTATCTCTTGAAATTATACAACAGTATAAGTCGAATTCTGCTAAGCCTATTTATACGTTAGAGAAACCTCTGAGAGAGAGAAATATCTGCCTTTGTGTGTGGAGATTAAAATCCACAGTTGGTATGGATTTTGAATGGTTGGAAATTTCAGACTTCTATGGATTGAAATTATGTGGTAAAATAAGCTAAAATAGAAGATTAACAGCATTTTTTCAACTCTTTTGAAAAGAGGATGTGTGCAAGTCTTACATTGTAAAAGAATGCTTGCAGTTAATTAAAATTAATACACAGCCATGTCACTGAGGCCCAGATTGTCCTCATTCCTACTTCCTTGGCCCAAATAAAATTCAGGTCAATTTGCAGTTCCTGCACTCAGGATAGCCCAGGGGCTACTCTGTCTTTACTCCCCTAGAGGTGCACAGTACTCCAATGAAGGGAAGAGAGGAGGTAAGACCATGGTCCCAAGCTCTCTCCTCTACACCAGCCTGCAAAGAGGGACCAGTGTGCAGGGGCAATCAACTATACTATATGAAGGGCTGTAATAGTAAGCATCCTCCCATACACTTCTGGAAGCACTGGGTATTCCACCCCACCCCTTACTTTGGGAAGTGCCTATGTGTATACTACATGCAAAATGTTTTGCTTTTAAATTTAAATCTACAATGCATCACTTTGATAGTGCAGTCACTGTGCACACACAGGAGTTCTTTGCTGAGATTGTATTTTGTATGCTGTAGAATATTTTCTTCTCACATTCAAGGGAGCATGCATACAATTATGTGATATGATATTGGAAGCAATCACTGTGCTGCATGCATCTTGGTGGCTTATGATTTTCATTAACTAATTCTTCACTAAGAATTATATTCCTTTTTGATGTGTCTCATGATCTTTTCTATTGTATTTCAAGTTAGATTAACTATATCTGGTTTATATTCTTGAACTAATCCTTTCAACTAGTTTTGTTTATATGCGCTGTTTGAATTTCTCAGTCTGTGGATTTGGATGTCAGAAACATTAAGTGTTGTAGGTGCATTATAATATACAGCCATCACATGCCATCAGTCTCTGAGGAACTTGCAATGTATATTTCAGGTTTCAATCAGGCCATAGAGCAAGGAAACTGCCCTCATTTGTGTATTAAGGACACTATCATTTTTCCGAGGATGTCTTTTTTTCCCTTCCATCTTATTGCAGCCATCAACATCTATCCTGAGACCCCTCCTCTAGTTTGAGTTCCACAAAGGCTAGTTGTCATCTCTCTTTTTTATTTTTATTCATCTCTATTTTTTATTTACCTTTTCCCTCTTAGTTAACTCCCCTTCCACCTTGAGCCGTCACCACCACTTTTGCACTGATAAACTCAACTTTACTTCTTTTGATACCTTTAATTGCTTACCTGGACTAGGTAAATTTGTGATTTTTGTCTTAATCTTCTTTTGGCTTCAGTCTGGATTCTGCTTTCTTTTTTCTTTCATATCTCCTGTGTTTATATATCTTCCTATCACCATCTCTATCACCACATTATCCATGTACACCAGTGCCTGGATTCAGCATCTTCTGTAATCATCATCAATACATTCATCACCCCTCAGTTTTACTATTGTTCACATATATTCTTTATACCTCCATGTTCCAGGTTTTTAATCCATATGCAGAATGTTGCTGTCTTCCCACATAAAGTGAATGCCTTTAAAAAGCCAACATTTGCCAGCAGATGCCACACAGTTATTTCCTATTTTAGATTGGAGGAGAAGTAACTGTAGTGTCACAGATACTGGTGTGTGATTTTGGCAAATGTTGCCTCTTTAATGGTGACCACTTTATAAGGTGCAAGGCCATCATTTTCTAACAATTTCGTTGGCTCTCCACTAATTACAGAATCCAGTGCAAAATTGCCCTCTTCGTTTTTCAACCCTTCCATGGGCCTCTCTCCCTTTCTTGTTCCTCTGCTTGTCTGGAACTGACCTCTCCTTTGTACAGTACCTTCATGCAACCTTGACATCATTGTAAGAGTACTCTCCTCTGCAGCTGCTGCCATCTGGAACAGGTTTCCTGTAGCTCTGTGTCTCATCACCTCCTTCCTCTCATTTCAAAACAGCTGCAAACATTGCTTTTCTTCCTTTCCTTACACTTCTTAATTTTTTTCCCACAGGCTATCAGCACTTACCTTAGATACCCCAGTGACAGGAGCTTAGAAATATCATGGACGGAGCAGATGAGATTAAATTTGGCTGTGTGTATTATTTAACTCTGTAAATGTTCACAACTCTGTAGGGTGTTCTGGGATGTTGTTTGTATGAAAGATGTTCTTCATTATAGAATTATAGAACCATAGGGTTAGAAGCAAGCCAAGGTCATCTAGTCTAGCCCCCCTGCCAAGATGCAGGATTATAAAACTGTATTCTCTTTAAAAATCAGAGCACTGGATGAAAAATCCTGGCTCCAATGAAGTCAATGGCAAAACTCCTATTGACTTAAATGGACCAGCATTTCACCCCCCAAAAAATATTTTGTCTTAAATATGTCTTAAACATAGCAATCCAAGAGAAACAGCTACAGTCCTCCTTTAACTGGAGCTAGTTGTGGAGAGAAAATCAGGCAAATTGGGAGTTGGGACCGAAAGGCTAAGAGCTGGGCTGGAAGGAAGCCTGTTTCTGGCAAGCGGGGTTGCCCATTTTGGTTGAATGTGTTCCTGGAGGTTTCATCACATGACATAATCTTTAATTAAAGATTAATCTTTAATTCCTGGAGACTTCAGGACAATCCTGGAG